GCCCTCCCCTCCCCCGCCCACTCACTCCCCAGCCGGCGGGCACAACCCCCTCCCCCCTCGCCCACTCATCCCCAGCCGGTGGGCACAGCCCCCACAAACCCCCCAGGGGGAAGAAGAGCCCAGCAAAGTGCCCAGGGGGGAGGGGCTGCTCCTGCTCAAGCCTTTTCTAATACCCCGTCCCGCCCACTGGGCCGAGACGGTTCCACAGCCCAACAAAACGCACCACTCGGCCCTGGGAAGCAGCGCCCCAGCTCCGTACCTTGACAAGCACCTTCTTCTTATCCATGGCCCGCACCACCTCGCCGACGTAGGAGCCCTGCTCCTGCAGCAGCTGCAGCTCCTCCCGCAACAGGCGTACTGCAGCGCAACAAGGAGCCGTGAGCCCCAGCCCTGCCTGCCCACCACGGGGCGCACAGGCCAGCTGCCGCTCAGAGGGCTCACGCAGAGAGGGCATTTTCAGGGCAGGCCATTAACTGAGAGGGGGCAGGCGCAGCCACCTCCCCACATGCGCCAGCCCAGCCCCCGGGGACACAGAAGCCATGCTCCGGAGTCAGCGCCGGCTTCCGTCTCAGCCAGGTGTCAGAGCCAGCACCCTGCCTTTGTATCCCTGGGAGAACATGCCTCGGGAGCGGGGTGCCCGGCTGTCCCGCTGCGACCACCGGGAACCCAAGAGATCACCCAGCCTCCCTCCCTGGCAGAATGGGGAACAATCCAACCCTCCCTCTCATGGTACGCTCTGGACACCCTTTGCATCCCACCCAGCAGGTCACCCCCCCCGGGCAGGGGATGTCACATTCTTGTTTTCAAAGCACCAATTCAGGGGGAATAGAGCACACGGAATGGGGACGAGGCGGGGGAGGCCGGCGGGAGCCGAGCGTGGGGAAGGCGGAGGAGGCCGGCGGGAGTCCTACCTTTGGCATTCAGCTCGTTCCTCTGCGCTTGCAGGCGGCGGAGATTCTGGCTCTTCTCGTTCACGATGAGCTTTGGGGAGAGGGGGAAGGGATAAGCCCACATGATCCCAGGGGTCCCCCTGCACAACCGGCCCCAGCACGGCACCTCGCTCTGGTCGGCTCGCTCCTGAACACGGGCTAACCACCAGTCTAGCAGCAAGGAAGTGCCCACGCGTCGCCAGTGGGCAATGCGCAGGTGCCTCCCTGGGGAGCGCTAGGCCACTGTTCCCGCCTCACGCCCGTCACTACAGCAGCCCTTGCACCGAGTCCTCCCCAGCGTCTCCAGCGTGAACCGCTCGGGAAAGCAGCTGGCACTGGAACGGGAATGGATCCAGCTCTGAGCGTCTCTTACCATGTGGTCTGCACCCAAAGCCAGACTAACGGCCTCCCCTCTATGCCAGGAACAAGGAACATTTCCCCTTTGAAGGGCTTTGCTCGTCACTTTGTCCCTGCTGCAGAAGTGGGGATACCACCGCCAACCCTGACACCTGGGCAAGGGGCCCCCTTCCCAATCTGTTATTGGGCATGCGCCGCTCTGCTCTGAGAACCAACGGCCAAAACAGCCCCTTCTAGCCCTGCCTTCCGCAGAGTCAGGCCAACTGGCTTTGGAGACGCCTGCCACTGACGGCAAGAAACACCACCCAAGGAAGGCCCTGCATCTGCAAGCTAGTTCCTGGGTCCCAACCTGCTCCTCCCGCTGGGAGCCCTCTGAGGCCCCAGCCCCACTGACAGAGATGCTGTCACTGAGCACGGACTGGAATCGCTTGGAAGAGGCTGCTGGTACCCTCAGAAGCCCTATAGAAGAGCTGCCCAGCAAAGATGGTAGCACCCCGCCGCAAACCAGAATGCACTTCCTCAGCACCCCCAGACCAGCCCCTCCAGCCACCCATCTGGTAGAGACGGTGCCCCAGCCCAGACCCCACTCCCTGTGGCCAGAGAGCCCCCACAATGCAGCTCACCTGCAGCTCCTCGATCTTGGACAGGTAGTACTGGCGGAGACCTGTCCCCCCTTTGCCTTCATCCATCTCCATCTGCAGAGAGAGCACACGTCAGGACACGTCCATTGGCCCAGGGGAGCCCCTCGGCGCGAGAACGGGGGGGCTCCTACCCACGGGAGGGGAGGTGCTGCTCGTTCTCCAGAGGAGCAGTGGCTGGGTGGCGTCCACGGGTCTGGCAGAACAGCCCCCTGTGCTGGCTGCCAGCTATCAAACGAACCCAGAGCCTCTGCCCTCTACCCTCTGAGCCACAGCCCAGCTGGAGTTCAGGGCCCCGCAAAGGCAGCCCCAGGGCTCCCCAGAGACCCTCTGACCGAGTAGGGTGCAGCGCCGCTCACATCCGAACGGCCTTCAGAGACAGCTTCCGGTGCAGGCAGGTTCAGCCCGGTCCACAGGCCCCTTCCACACAGAAAGGATAGGAGGCGGCCCCAGCATCACTAAAGTGACATCTGCAGCCACCAGGCTCCAAGGAGCCCCAGCTCCACAAGGCGGGTGCAGGCCGGGGCTCTGTTCACTTCTGTGGAGCCCCCCAAACTCTCGGGGGACATGGCTGCACCAATCGCAGACAAAGAATCCAAAGTGGACAGGAGCTGGTGGGTGTGAGAAGCTCTGTGGGCAGCCCTGGGGCCACGAGAAGGGGACCCAGCCCCACCGCCTGGGGAGCAGGCACCGAGATCCAAGGCAGCCCATCCAAGGGGGCTGGGCCCCACTGGCGAGGGAGGAGCCGTTTCCCCCTCCCTTCTGCACAAGCATCTGCAACAAACCCCGCCCCCCCCCGATTCCTCCTCTTCCTCCCCCCCGCCCCCTCCTCTTCCTCCCTCCCATCCCACCCCACCCCTCTTCCTCCCCCCCCGCCCCCCACTCCCTCCTCTTCCTCCCCCCGCCCCCCAATCCCTCCTCCTTCCCCTCACCCCCCCCCGATTCCCCTCCCCACTATCCCCCCGCCCCCGCATCACCCAACCACCGATTTCCCCTCCCCCCCCCCCGGCCTGACGCAGCAGAACGCGGCCCCCGGCTCCGCGGAGCCGCCCCGAGGGCAGGACGAGCCCCACGGCCCCCTCCGCCCGGCCGGGCTGCGCCGCTCCTCAGCCACCCCGCCCCGCCCCGCCCCGCCCCGCACTCTCCCCGGGGTCTCTCACCTGCTCCGGCCCGTCCACCGCCATCTTCTCCGCCGGCATCTGGGCGCTGTGACCAGTCAGGGTACCGACGCGCACTGCGCAGGCGTAGATAGACCCCGGAGCTATCTGCCCACATCCAAGATGGCCACCGCCTCGACCCTTTCCCCCGTGCGCACGCGCAGGAAGCGCATAGGCGTCATTTCCTTTCTCTGACTATGAACGCTCAAAACACCCATCACGCTTCCGGGCTCAAATAACCACACCTAAGATGGCCGCCTCCTCCGGTCCTGAGCCGCCATCTTGGTAGGGTCTCTCCAGTAACCTTCGGCCTTGTAGGGAAATGGGGAAAAACACCCTGAGGAGAATGTTCCCCTAAGTCATCCTGGTCGCCGTGTTCCCCCGCCGGCCCCGCTCCGCCTCAGCGCCTGGACGCCACTCACAAGATGGCGGCAGGGCAGCGTCGTGACGGAAACGGAAGTGAAGGCGCGCGCAGGGCAGTGTGGGAAGGAGCTTGGTGCGTGCATGTGGTGTGCAGGCTGCACCCACCAGTAGCCGGGCCGGGGTGAGTCGGGTCAGGGATTCGGGGGGAGTGGGGCGATTTGAGGGGGGACTCGCGTGGGGATTGGGAGGGGGGGTAGGTGGGGGGGAACTCGCGTGGGGATTGGGGAGGGGGGGGAATAGGTGGGAGGGGGTGCGGGGGTTGGGGGGAACTCGCGTGGGGATTAGTGGGAGGGCGGGGGGAATTGGGGGAATTTATTTCTTCCAAAGTTGCCCCCAACTGGAAGCCACCAGCCGGCCCAGCGCGTTCCCAGCTGGGTCCCTGGGGGCCTCAACAGGTGCTTGGCGCTGCCCCTCCCTCCCCCCCCCCCGGGCCAGCCGGGCTGGGTCCTGACCCCTGGGCACCCCTGTGGTGCGCGGAGCTGCGCCCCTTTGACTCGGTTTCTGGGGTGTTGGGCTGGAGCCAACGGGTGTGGATCTGGTCTCCCCGCTGTCTGGGGGTCTGACAAGTCCTAGCCCCACTCAGCTGCTTCTCCGGGAGGTGGTGTGGGTGCGGGTTGCACTGGGGCTTGGGGTCACAGTGCGAGGGGGCCGTAGCTAGCCATGTAATAGGTGGCATTCTGCTATCCTATGGATTTTTTCTGGGGGGGCGGGGGCACTAAATGCACCTAGAATCAGAGAGGTAGCCATGTTAGTCTGGATCTGTAAAAAGCAACAGAGAGTCCTGTGGCACCTTAGGTGAATACCTACTTCGTCAGACGTGCCTGTATCTGTTACACTATAAGGTGCCACAGAACTCTTTGTTGCGAAATGCATCTAGAGGCTTGTCCTGCTGTAGACAGGAGTGGGGCTGGTACTGGGGTCCCTGTGGGGGCCTCGGACGGAGTCGTGTGGTTACTCACTCCTTGATCGGTAGCAGTCTGGCTTGGAGGGCAGCTGCAGAGAATGGGATGGGAGGGGGCCTCCCTTCCCCCTGCCGAACGTTGGGGTGAGTGACGTGCTCCCAGGGGTGCTCAGAGCCGATGAGGGGCGATTTGGACTCTGGGTTCAACTTGCTGCCACTTCCCGTCTCTCCGCAGAAGGCGTGTGCACTGCTGCCTGGGACTGCTCGTGGGGCTCCCCTGCCCACCGGAGAGCGAGCCGAGCCTGTGGGCCTGAGCGAGCCTACGGGCACCTTCACCCCCCAACATGGGCAAGAAGGGCAAAGTGGGGAAGAGTCGCCGGGACAAGTTCTACCGCCTGGCCAAGGAGACGGGTGAGCGGGGGCGAGGGGCGGGATCTGCTGAGTTCTGGGGGCATCTCTGCCCCTCAGCACCCACATCCTACCTCTGCTGGGCCGCGACCTCCCACGCAGGGCCCAGCCTGGGCTGTGATCCCCGCCACAGCTCGTTCCGTTTTTCCCCACTTCCTGCCCTGCAGCAGCTGCTGGGGGCTGGCGACGTCCCCCCTCGCGCCTGCGGACTCACCCAGACCCCCGGAAAGCTCTGACTCTCCCTCCCTTTAGGCTTTCGCTCGCGATCCTCCTTCAAGCTGATTCAGCTCAACCGGAAGTTCCAGTTCCTGCCAAAATCCTGCGCGTTGCTGGACTTGTGCGCGGCCCCTGGGGGCTGGTGAGTGACTGGGGCCACGGCTGCCTGTCAGAGCCCAGGGGACCCGCCGGCCCTTGGAACGGGGGCTGGCAGGGTGACAGGAGGCGGGAATGTCTTGGCTGGCTTGGCAGAGCTCCAGCCCGCTCGCTTACACCTTGGGCAGGCCCAGAGCCCATGTGCAGCCCTGCCTGCTTCCTGGGCTCCGTTGGTGGCCAACAAACTGAGTCTTGGGGCAGATGAGGAATTGTGCGGCAGCTCCATGGCTCGGGGGCAGGACCAGACACTGTCCAACATCCCCGGGCTGGTGAACAGCCTTGTGGCCATCGCCAGCTGTGGCCGCGGGGGGAGCCCTGCGCCTGTCGGACTCCAGGGGGCGCCATCACTTTCCTGCCCCAAGCCCCGGGTGACTGTCCCATAGCGGGCGGCTCCAGGAGCAGGCAGTGGGTGGCGAGAGATCAGTGCCCAGGCTGGAGCTGCTGCTGGGGCTTTGCCGGCCCATAGGGAAGCATGGGACCCGTACTGCCCCGCAGGCCCTGTGTGGGCTGAAGCCCCAGGGAGCTTCGCCAGATGAGATATCGCAGGTGTCTCCCCATGAAAGAGGAGGGCAGAGCCCTCCAGGGTAACACATCTGTCCCCAGCTGAGGCAGCGTGAACTGGGCAGGGACTGCTGTGAGTCGGGGGAGCAGCTCCCAACGCTACCAGGCCCTCCAAGCTGGACCCCCACACTGTGCCCTCCACCCAGTCTCGGACCAGCCTGGTGTGGGGGTGACCCCAAACAGCCATATCCGTGGGCTGTGTAGACTCGTCAGGGTGCAGGCCCCAAGGGGTGGGCGCAGAGCCCCGCCCTGCCTGGGTTTCTCCTCTGTCAGAGTCAGTCCCGTGGGGCTCGTCTCCTTTTCCGTGATGGTGCTGGGGGAAGCAGGGGGACCCGTGTGGGTCATTATGGGGGGCGAGGCCTTACACTGTCTCTGGCCCTCTCTCCTCTCCACAGGCTGCAGGTGGCCTCCAAGTTCATGCCGGTTTCCAGCCTCATTATTGGTGAGTGGGGCGGGGGCAGGACAGGATGCCTGGGGGTCTGGGCTCAGGAGAGAAGGGGCAGTCGCCGAGGGGCTGGTTGGGAAGGGGACACTGTCCCTCCTGATGGCTGGGCGGGCGCCACCCCTCATGGGAGTTGGGGGCTGTTGAGAATGGGGCAGCACCCTCGTTGGGGGAGGGGGTCTGGCAGATGCTGAGTGTCTCTCTCCTAGGGGTGGATTTGGTCCCCATTAAGCCCATCCCCAACGTGGTGACGCTGCAGGAGGACATCACCACGGAGAAATGTCGCCAGGTAATTCCCACCCCACAATGCCTCCTGAACCCCGACAGCTGGATACTTTAGCGCATCTCCCCCAGCCCTGTTTCTGGGGGGATGGGGGACATCATGTTCACCCAGAGGCCTCTCTGCAGTGGGATCCCCAAGCCACCCACCCCGGTCCCCCTTGGGGGGAGTGGGTAGGACCCTTGGGTTTGGCTCAGCCCTGGGACGCAGGTTCTGTAGGCTGGAGGGAGCGTTGGTCTTGGGGGGTTGGAGGGGAGGCCTGGCGTGGGGGGAGGGGCGGCAGGCTCACTGTGCCCTCGCCCCCCTCCCCCACTCTGCTGTAGCGAATGTGAGGGGGGCTGTCCTGGCAGGGAGGGTGTCCCAGGCTCACCCACTGCCCTCGCCCCCCAGGCCGTGCGCAAGGAGCTGCAGACGTGGAAGGTGGACGTGGTGTTGAACGACGGGGCCCCCAATGTGGGGGCCAGCTGGGTGCATGACGCATACTCCCAAGGTACCTCCCCCCTCGCCTGGCGGCCCTGGTCCCTGTGACAGCCAAGGGTTCAGCTCCATCCCTAGCGCCCTGGAGCTCCCCGGGCCCAGCTCAGCAGTCCTTGTCGCATCGACCCCAGTGCAGGAGCAAAGGGCCCTCTGGGGCCGGCCCAGTTACGAGGGATCGGGACCCAGCACTGTCGGTCGTGTGCTCCAGAGCAGAGAGCGGCAGGAGGCCTGGGCCCCATGGAAGTGTCAGACAGATGCCCCGGGGAGGGAAAGGAACGCGCCGCGCCAGGCGAGTGCCTGTGGGGTTGTCTCCTCAGCAGGCCCAGGGCTGAGTCCGGCCCGGCCCCGCCCCCTGCCCCATCCTTCCCCTCAGGTACCACGACAGGCACCGTGGGAACCAGAATCAAGCGGGCTCCTGCTCCCGGTCTGCCACGCTTGGAGCCACTGGGAGTGAAGGCTCAACGGGGTTGGCTTTGGCGCTGATCCAGCTCCATTCTCCACTCCAGCCAACCTGACGCTCATGGCCCTGAAGTTGGCCTGTGAATTCCTTTCCAAGGGCGGCTGGTTCATCACAAAAGTCTTCCGCTCCCGCGACTACCAGCCCCTCCTGTGGATCTTCCAGCAGTTGTTTCGCAAGGTGCAGGCCACCAAGCCGCAGGCCTCCCGCAACGAGTCGGCCGAGATCTTCGTCGTCTGCCAGGGTGAGCTGGGGCCGGGCGTTGCTGGGTGGGAAGGGAGTGGGGGTTGCTGGCTGACACCTCTAATCCTTTCCTTTTCCCTCTCCCAGGATATCTGTCCCCAGATAAAATTGACAGCAAATTCTTTGATCCCAAATTTGCCTTCAAGGAAGTTGAGATTCAGGCCAAATCTGTGAGCGAGCTGGTGACCAAAAAGAAACCAAAGGTACAAGTGAGCAGTCCGGGGGGCTTGGCTGTGAGGGGAGGCCCTTTGGGGCAGGGAGAGCAGCCCCCAGGGATGAGGAGAGGAGTCCACATTTAGAGTGGGGCTGGGGGAGGCTGTGGCGCTTGGACCCTGCCGAGTGGAGCCTGCTGTTTACTCATCCCCTCTGGCTAGTAATGTATATGCTTGGCGCTTCGAACGTGCTAATTTCCCAAAGCCGAGGAAAACTGAGTGAAATTGCCTGGGAGGAAAAATGTAGGCAGGAAAATTAATGAAAATTGGGAGCCCTTTTAAAAGGGTGTATTCCATGGCCAAAAAGCCATGATTCTACAGTCAAGAAAGAACATGGCCTAAAATCCCATCCTGGTTCAGTGGTGAAGAGAAAGTGACCATTAGACATAAAAAAGTAATAGATAACACATGGAAAAAAGGGGAAATGCATAGCAATGGGTATAAATTAGAAGTTATGGAGGGTAGAAAGTTGATAAGGGAAACTAAAGAGATCAGGGTAAACTCCCTGGCTTTCATAGCTAAGGACAATAAAGAGTTTAAGGATATTAGGAACAAAATAAATGCTAGCAATGGTATAGGCCAGGGGTAGGCAACCTATGGCACGCGTGCCAAAAGCGGAACGCAAGCTGATTTTCAGTGGCACTCACACTGCCCGGGTCCTGGCCACCGGTCCAGGGGGCTCCGCATTTGAATTTAATTTTAAATGAAGCTTCTTAAACATTTTAAAAACCTTATTTACTTTACATAGGGCAATAGTTTAGTTCTATATTATAGACTTATAGAAAGAGACCTTCTAAAAACGTTGTGTGACTGGCACGCGAAACCCTAAATTAGAATGAATAAATAAAGACTCGGCACACCACTTCTGAAAGGTTGCCGACCCCTGGTATAGGCCTATTATGCTAGGAGGAGATGGTAAAGTTGTTAATATAGAAAAGGCAGAAAAGCGTTTAATAAATATTTGTGTGTTTGGCAAGAAGCAGGATTATGATCTCGTATTACATGAGAATGGTGAAGTACTTTCTAGTCCGTTAGCAACCAAGGTGGATGTTAAAAAGCATCTACTAGGAACAAACATTTTTAAATCAGCAAGTCACTAGCAACCAAAAAGTCCTAAAAGAGCTGGCTGAGAAAATCTCTAACCTACTGATGTTAATTAATGCCAATTAATGTGATGGGGGGTTGGGGGTGTCTTGTCAAACAAACGTGATTTCATTCTTTGAAAGGTACTTGTCTTAGTACTGCACAACATTCTAACTGTAAACGTAGCGCTGTGCCGTACCTGCAAAGCACGAAGTAAGTGGATTAAGACCTGGCGAACTGACAGATCTCAAAAGGCGTCATCATCTAATGGGCGAGAGTCCAGTGGGCTTCCGCAGGGCCTGATACTAGACCTGACGTCATTCAACATTTTCATCAGTCTGGAAGCAAATAGCAGATGTGCAGCGGAGCCAAAGATTTGTGGAGTGAGGCACCAGGTGTTGTAATACAGCCAAAGGCAAGGTCATGTCTAGGGCCGTATCTGCGGAATGGGGGCCTGCGTCCTGGAAAGCAGGGAGTCTGGACAGGACCTAGGAGTCATCGTGGACAAGCAGCTGCCCTTGAGCTCCCGGGGTGATGCTGACGTGACCCGTGGCTGTGTGAAAAGGGGAGTCGGAGCTGAGTTCGGTACAGCGCTGCTGGGACCGACGCTGGAGACCGCACCCCGGTCTGGGGTCTGCATTTATAAAGATGTTGACATTTTAGAGAGGGTGCAGAAAAGAGCCACAAAACCGATTAGGGAGCTGGCGACCAGGCCGGAGAGTGACACACACACAGCTCAGTATGTTCCGCTGATCACGGAGCAGACTGAGAGTTGACTTGACAACAGTGATTTGATCTTGATGGGGAGAAAATACCGGTGACTAACGGGCTCGTTAAGGACGACAGCAGAACGAGAACCCCTGACTGGAAGCTGATGTTAGACATGTTCGAGTTAGAGATGAGGCAGGACGTGTTTCCTGAGCGGGCGATTGGCCATTGGAACAAACTGCCCGGGGAAGGGGGGGGGCCCCATCTCGCTGTCATCAACTCCAGGCTGGAGGCTTCTGGAAGGAGCTTCAGGCACTACAAGCCGTTGGGCTCCATGTGGGTGTGAGGGGGGAAGTGAAATGGCTGGGCTAGGCCAGACTAGCTGATCTAATGGTCCCTGCCGTGAATCTACGGCTCTGACCCCGTCCTCCCGTTTCGCAGGCGGAGGGATACGCAGAAGGTGACACGACGCTCTATCACCGCTTCACGCTGATGGATTTCCTCAAGGCCCCCAACCCTGTGGATTTCCTTTCCAAGGCCAATGAGGTGAGTGCCCAGGGCCAGGCCAGCCCCGTGGGAGCGGAGCAGGGAGGGCCCACAGCCTGGGCTTGGCTCAGCCCCTCTGCTGGATGCCGGCAGGGCACTTAGCAGTACCCAGGGGCTTGCTGGTGAGACCCACAGGCTTGGGCTTGGGGCAGGGGAAGAGTTGCGAGGGCTGCTGGTCTCGGGAAGGAGACAGCTGCAGCCTTTCCCCTTTGGCTCCTGTGCAGATCACGCTGGGGGACAGCGAGCTGGAGCGGCACAGCGCCACCACCGAGGAGCTGCGCCAGTGCTGCCGGGACATCCGCGTGCTGGGCCGCAAGGAGCTCAGGTACCCTGGGGGGGGGGGAGGGGGCACGCGGCCTGGGCTTGGGGAGTCCGGCACTGCCTGGGGCGGCTGGTTCTAACTCGCTGCCTCTCTGCTCAGGGCCCTGCTGAACTGGAGGACGAAGCTGCGTCGCTTTATGGCCAGGAAGCTCAAGGAGCAGGCCAAGGAGCTGGACATCAGGTAGGCGGAGAAATGTGGCTTCCAAAATCTGCAACTGCCCCCTCCACGCACCCCAGGGGGCGCTCCGTAGCTCGTGCCCGCCAGCTGGTGGCGCTGGGGAGCCTGGCCCCAGGTTGGCTGGGTGGGGCAGGGCCAGGCTGAGTGACTCCATCTTCTGGCAGCTTGAGCTCCGGCGAGGAGGAGGAGGGCGGCGAGGAGGAGGCCGTGAAGATGTCGGGAGCAGCTGGGGATGGAGCCGCAGAGGAGGAGGAGATGGAGTTGAGGCTGGCGGAGCTGAAGGCAGAGGAAGTGGCTGAGCTGAAGAGGTGAGTGCTGCCCTCCCCAGCAAGGGGATCTGGGCACCCAGGAGTGGGGGAAGCTCAGTGCTCCTGCTACGGGCATGTGGTGGGCCCGTCCTCAGCTGGGCTGGGGTGTCCAGCCAGCAGAAATGCTGCAGGGAGGCTTTCCCGGGGTGCCTCCCCACACCGGTACCCCTATTTGCCCTGTGTCACGGACTCACAGATCGTGCCCACTCTTGGCCCCGTGTGGTCCGTGGGGGGTGCCCCTGTTAGTGAGACAGCCCTTCTCGGGGGTCCACTCTCTCTTGGGGTCAGGACCCTCCATCTCCTGGAGCCGCACCTCTCAGAGCCTTAGCACATCTGTTTCTCGCCGTGGACCCCCTCAGGGAGTCCCCTCGCTCTGGACCCCCGGGGCCTTCACCCCCGAAGGGGTTGATGTCACCCTGTTCTCTAGACCGGAGTGACTCTCAGCCGGCATAAAACAGGAGGGTTTATTGAGGGTTGAACTCAGCACAGGAAACTCTCAGGGCCTCAGGCCTGGCCTCCCTCAGTCCAGCACATCCCAGTCTCTCTGCATCCAGGTGAGCTCTGCCTGCTCCCCCTCTCCAGCCCAGAGCCCCCCTGCTTCCCAGCTGGGCATCTGATATCCCCTGCTCCAAGCCCCGCCTCTGTCCATTGTCTTCTCTCCAGGTAAACAGGGTCGTAAACTGGGGCCTCCTCTCCTCCGTTCTGTCCTCTGTCTGGAACCGGCTGGTTAGGTCACTGGGTCCTCACTCTGCAGCCCATTGTCCGCCCACTGGCCAGAACCGGTTGCGTCTCCTCAGCTGGGCCTCCAGGTTGCCAGGTCACCGGTCGCTGGGGTATCCATCCTCCCGGCCATGGGCTGGGTCCCCAAGTCCTCTCCAAAACAAACTCCTTCTTCCCTCACCTCGTTAAACCAGTAACACCCAAGGAAACTGAGTCCCACCCCCCTGCATGCAAACCATTGAAACTCCACAGAAAACAAGAAACCACCCCACTTCGTCACACCCTGAATACCCCCATGCGCCTCTCCCTGACCCCCTCCTCTCAGGACTGTTTCTGGGAGCAGTTTCCTTTGGGCTCAGGACCCCAGCCCCAGCCTGGCTCAGACGCTCGCCCACCCCAGCATGGGAGGGAAGCAGAGGCCCTGAGGGGAGTGACTGGCCCAAGCTCCCATGGTCTGCAGCAGAGCTGGGAATAGAACCCAGCAGTCCCGCCAGCCAGGCCTGCTCTACACACCCCCACCCGCTGAGAGACCCGGCTCCATGTGTCCCCGGCAGCAGCTGGCGCTCACTGCCTGGTGGTAGCCATGCCGCCCCTGGGGCTGCCCAGTGCTCTGCCCCAGCACTCAGGGAGGCACCGTGATGGGTGCCCCTTCCCCCATGACTGCACAGCTGTGAGAGTTATGGGCCAGCCCCTCAGCACAGGGGTCTCCATCTGGGGGGGGGCAGGAGGGGGCCGCAGTCAGACAGGCCTGCTGGGAGGACAGGATGGGGCAGCCGGGCTCCCATCCCCATGATGGCAGCTGCGGGGTTCACAGGGCTGCAGCGTGACACCCCTTCCCCCCCTCCCCCCCCCGGCGGGGATCCCCCCCAGGAAGAAGAAGAAGATCCTGAAGGAGCAGCGGAAGCAGCGCGAGCGCATCGAGCTGAAGATGGACCTGCCCGGTGTCTCCATCGCGGACGAGGGCGAGACTGGCATGTTCTCCCTCCGAACCATCAGCAAGACCCGGGTGAGGCTGCGGGGGCAGCAGCTGGCTCCCCACCGGTGTGACAGCCCATGTCTGCTTGGGGGGCTCGGGAAATGGGCGGGCTACAGGGGAGTGAGCGGGGCTAGGAGAGTGGTGGGGGGACACACTCCAGGTGGGGGCTGGGCTGGGAGAGCGGCAGGGGCGGAAGAGGAGGCAGGATGATTTGATTTCTGTGGGGCCTGGCTCCTGACCCTCGCTCCCTGCTCCTCAGCTGCTGAACGAGGTGGCCAGGGGTGATATGGCGTCTGCGGATGCCTTCCTGGAGGCGCCGCACGAGGACGACGACGTGGCCCTCTCTGAGCAGGACGACGTGGATGACGTGTCTCTGGCCAGCGACCTGGGCTCGGACGAGCTAGCCGACATCGAGGAGCGGCTGCAGGAAGCCAAGCGGGGGCTGGGCCCAAAGAGGTCAGAGCCACTGTGGAGAGTGGGGGGCAGGTGAAGGATCCTGGCAGCTGCAGTAAACTCCACCTAGTTGGAGCAGCGTGGGGGCCGTGAAAACTGCGTCACAGACGATGAAATCTGTCTCCCCTGTAATAACATCTGGTCTGTTGTGAACTTTTACCCTAAGCAGCATTTCACAAACCTGGGAGGGGGACGTGGCATCGCCACTCCTGCTTCTGCGCTGTCTGGAGAGCGGCGAATTCTGGCTGGCTTCCCAGCTCTGAAGGCAGAACAGAAGTGAAGGTGGCACGGTATTGGCCGGTTGTCACTTTTTTGGGGGGGAGTTGGCATGGGCTTTACATCTTTTGCCATTTTTAAATACATGTTCATGCTTTGTTACAACACTGTTTCAAGCTTTTAAAAATGCTATGAGTGAAATTTACGAAAACGATGTGAATTTGGTAGGGCCATGGCCATGAGGGGTGCTGGGCAAACGACAGCCTCTCTACTCTGGGCTCCCAGTAGGGGGCGCTGTGACTGGCTGGGGTGATGACCAGGTGGACGGGGTCGGCCTGCCTGGCCTTTAACCCTCGCAGCACCACTGCGGTGGGAGGCTCTGCCCCTTTCCCAGGGGTTAGCTGCCCACCTGGCTCCAAGTGCCCCTCCCCAGGGAGCCCTGTGCCAGGCAGCCTGGCTGCCCCCGCCGGGCCCCTGTCCGTGGCCCTGGGGCTGAGCGTGCCCAGCTATCCCCGCCGGGCCCTGGTCCGTGGCCCCGGGGCTGAGCATGCCCGGCTGGCTGTGTTGCAGAGGGACCTTCCAGCAGGTGGCAGAGGAGGAGGGGGAGGAGAATCCTCTGCTGGTGCCCCTGGAGGAGAAGTCGGTGCTGGAGGAGAGGCAGACCAACCTGTGGTTTGGGAAGGTGAGTTCCCCAGTTGGCCGGGAAGTGCCAGGCCCCGAGGTGGGGGGTGTCCCAGCCTCTGTGCAGCGGCTCCAGCCTCACCTGGGCCCACCTGCCCTCTGCTGGCTGGAGCAAGGCCTGTCACCCTCTGGTGGCAGCACATTGCGTGTGAGCCATGGTGCTAATGGCTGGCAGGAGACTCTTGAGCTCCCCCAGGGAGGCCTGGCTGGGGCTGGGGAGTTACAGGGGCCAGAGTCTCCCCACGTGGGCTGCAGGGACCCCAAGGATGGGGGGAGAGGAGGGAGCGCAGTGAAAGCAGCCCACGCATGAGGGCCTGCGTCCTTAACTCAAACATCCCCTCGCTCCCTCCCATCCCCCCACGTGTCTCCTCCTACCCCCCATCCCTGCGAGCTCCCTGCCATTCATATCTCCTGCTGCCCCCCCACCAGCTCAGCCCTGCCCTCTGTGACCAACCCCTCCCTGTCCCTAGGAGGTTTTTTGCCGGCATTGAGGACGATGTGGACGAGGCCCTGGAGATCAGCCAGGCGCAGGCGCTGTCCGAGAGGAAGGAGCCGCCGCCAGGTGAGAAGGGGGCCGTGGCGTGCACGGGGCCGGCTGTCTCTGGGGGTGGCGCCTGTCAGGGTTCCCTCCCCACTCTGAACTCTGGGGTACAGATGTGGGGACCCGCATGACCCGCTAAGCTTATTTTTACCAGCTTAGATTTAAAACTTCCCCAAGGCATAAATTCTTTTCTTGCCCTTGGTATTGCTGCCACCACCAAGTGATTTAAACAAACATTCAGGAAGGGCCACTTGGAGCCCTACCTCCCCCAAAATATCCCCCCAAACCCCTACACCCCCTTTCCTGGGGAGGCTTGTGAATAATATCCTCACCAATTGGTTACAAAGTGAGCACAGATCAACCCCCCTGGGTCTTTAGGACACTGAAAAACAATCAGGTTCTTAAAAGAAGTTTATTTTAGAAAAAAGATAAAAGAATCACCTCTGTAAAATCAGGATGGAAGATAACTTTACAGGGTAACAAAAAGATTCAAAACACAGAGGATTTTCCCTCTAGGCAAAACTTTAAAGTTACAAAAACAGGGATAATCCTCCCTCTTAGCACAGGGAAAATTCACAAGCTACAACAAAAGATAACACTGCTCTACAGCCAAAATGCTTCTGAAATAAATGTAGTCAAACTTTACTAATTCTGGGTCACT